TTTTTTTTTTTTCCAAATTGGGACAAAAGTTCGTTTACTGAATCTACTAATCTGGTTAAGTATATATCATCTAACTTCTATGGAAAGGTGGAGAGGAGGTCACAGAAAAACCTCTCAAGCTAGAATGTAGCCATCTCCAAAGACTCAAGTTTAGTTAACATAAAAACCCTCTGATGAGACCCCTCTGTGCCAAGAACATAAGGTCCGTAAGGGCCTGGTGGTGGCTGCCGCACCACTGCTGCCCTTGCCAGAGAACCTGCACCTCGGTGGACAGCCGTTGTTCTCTCTCTGGCTGGAGAGATGTGGAGCGCCACCCCCTTGTCTCCAGAAAGCCTGAATCTGTGCTGTCTCATCTTCTGCAGCCCTTGGAGGGTTTATTTTAGGGGCTGCTGTTGTGGATCAGAAGACTGTACTCCCTCTGTTGGCTTAAAGTTGGCCCTGCCACTACCAGCTAGGTGACCTTGGTCCGGTCATTCGCCCTCTCTGAGTTGCTTGCTTTGTTTTGCTCTTCAGTAAAATAAAACCACAACTAGATCACAGACTACTGGTTGGTAGTTGTAACTGTGGGAGAGCTTAATCCCTGAGTTCAAGAACCATCTCCCCGGCTCTGCTCTTGTTCCTGTTACACTCTTTCTAGCTCTTTGGTGAGTTTCTTTCCCTGTTTGAACTTCATTTTCCTCGTCTATAAATGAGAATAATACTATCTTCTTTATGGCATTGTTGTGAGAATTAAATAGAAATCCAGGTGAAACACCAAACACTTAGCTATTACCATTTTATTACTCACTAAATGGTAGTCCTGCCCCCTCCCTTCAATTTCATTGTTATGAGACCCAGTCATACTCACCGTTTTGTGATCTAACACTTTGTTTTTTATGAGTGTGACTGCTTTGAGTCATGATTCAACAGAGACCCTAGCCGCGAAGGGACCCAGCTCAGATTTAGTCCACATTACGTACGGCCCAGAATGTGTGCATCTGTCTGCCCAGCTGCTCATTTGAGCTTTTCCAGGGGTCTGAGGCCCCTTGTCAGAGCAGCAAAGCATCAGTGAGAACATAGGTATGCACATGTAAGAGTGACCTGGCATTCCTCTGGAGCACTCTGCATCTGGGGCTGGATATGCAGAAGGGTTAAAAGCTGGAGAAACTTTTGTCATAAATTTCCTCTTCAGCAGGACTTCCCAGGGAACATCTGACATTAGGAGAGAGGAAATGCTGATTGGCCTCGGAGTCAGCTGAAGGAGACAGGAGCTGCAGTGGAAGCTGCTGGATTTACTGTTATTAGCAAGGCAAATGGAAAGCCAGCAGGGCAGCCCAGCTCCCAGATAATAGATGTAACAAGAAGGAAAGCTCCCAGGAAGGAAGATGGCTGGCAGCCACGACTCCTCTACCTCCTCTGCTGCCATTTCTTTCCATTGCTTTTACCTTTTTGTTTCGTGTGTTTAGCACAAGGAGAAGCATACTTTAGCATCTTAGGTTATAAGTCACAGCTGGTTTAAAGTAAAACAGGATCTATAATTCAGCTTCTTACTGGCTTGATAGATTCATAGTTGAACATGGTGAAATATGTAAAATTGTGTTGATATAGTATTAAGAAGTTGCCATTTATTGAGCACTTACCATGTGCCAGACTAAGTGCTTTACATGTGTTATTATCTCATTTAACCCATATAACAACTTCATGCTTTAGAAATGATCATCATCCCCAACTTAGAGATAAAGAAACAATGCTTAGAGCACTTAGGTAATTTCCCAAGGTCTTAAAGCTTAGTGGAGCTGGGATTTGAACCGTGCCATTAAGGTCCTACCAGTCCAGTGGAAAGTAAGCAAGAGCCCAAATGGCTATTATGGGGCCAGACAGGGTGCTGGCAATAAGAAAAGTGCTTACTGAGTCCTGAAATGCAGTGCTAACTGGGACAGTGGTGGTTAGAAGGAAGATGGGCAGGCAGAGGGGAGCCGAGTTAGCAGGCGGAGATGACATCTGAAGGGCCTGATCCCCCAAAGCAGGGAGCAGGGCAGATGGGCAGTTGATCCCTGAGGACCACAAGGAATGAGGGGGAACGGCAGATCGTGGCAGCAAGGACCAGGGAAACAGATGATGCTCGGCATCACAAAGAGCCGTGTCCTGTGCAGGGTCAGGTCACAAAGGCAACAGGTGAGCAAAACTCCTATTGTCAAGATTACCTCTGGAAAAAAAATCCCTTTAAAAATGCCTGTGAGAGGCCAGCACACTGTAGGTTTTCTCATTAACTCCAACGCAGCGAGCTTTTGTTTTTCTAGCATGAGAACCAATGAAAACTAAAAATACGTATCTTTAAATGCTAAAATCAAACTTGGCACAGAAAGATGCTCACACTATAAGAGGAGCTACGCAACAGACACCGGCATCCACCCAATTAATTCAGTAAGTCATTCATCAGACGTTTACCAAGCTCTGTAGTTGCAGCGATGACTAAGGCTCCCACCTCCCATTCACCTTCTTGTGGTTTATTGAATCACCGGGAAGACATGGTAAGTGGGATTCTCCAAACTATTTAAATTGTTCTCTTGGTCATTCCTCACTCTCTTTTTCCTCATTTTTTACCAAACAAGTACAGGTGAATTCAGATAAATTAAATGTGTGACTTGTATACAAAGAGATCCAGGCAGTAGGCGACATCAAGAACAGGCCCAGTTTCCTGAGAGGCACACTGAGGACCTAGCAGGGTACTAGACCCAGGGCAGGGTTCTGGGCAGGACTGGGCTGGGGGCAAGGGCAGTTACCTGAATGAGACGTTAAGGTCAAGATCAGATTTCAAGAAAGGAAATCTTGTTTGGGTTGGCCTCAAAGTGCAGAAATCCTCTTGCCTTAGAGCCGAGCCTGCAGCGAGAGGAATGTTAGGTGATGCAGTTTTCCCTATTGTGGGAAAAGAAAGCGGCCATTCTGGGAGTCTTGTCAGGGCCTGATGTTGTTATAGGAGTCAGTCAGAGAAAAGCATATGCAAAGAGTTGTGGAGGCCAGATAAGACTTAGGGAATGACCATAAAAGGGATGTGGTTTGACAGACTGCTAGCAGGCGGTGTGGATGAAGGGAGCCATGATACTATGCACTGAACAGGAAGGAGACCAGTTCTGCTGGCTCATAGAGGACATAGATGGGCAAGAAATTAGGATGAATAGAAGGTCTGGAGAGTAGGGTAAGGAAGTTGTGAGAGGATTTTAAGCATAAAAGTGATAGCCTTAAGAGTTGGACTCCAGAGATCCCCCTCTGACAATTGGAGGAAGAATGGATAGCTGGAGGCCAGGAGATGAGTTGGGAAACCATTACTGAGGGCTGGACGATAAGCAGTGCAGAGGAGATGTGTTAAGTGGGTAGAGTCTGTGGAACTTGGGAGTTGACTTCACGTCAACAAGGAGGAAGGCTGTGTAAGAAGTATTCCAGACTTGCGAGTGCCTCCTCATTCACGACTCTGAATCCTTAGAGGCCAGAATCAACCTTCATGATCTCTGCATCTGTAGTGCATAGCCCGGGACTTGGCACACGGTAGGTTCAGTAAATGTTTGATGAACAAGTGAGATAATCCATTGGAGACTTGTGGTGTCATCATTGGAAACCCAGTTACAAGGAAAAAGAGCTGGTTTGAGTAGAGAAGGTTCATGAGTTTGTAGTTGATTATCCTGTACAATTAGAATCAAATAGGTGCTTGGAGTTCTCTTCATTCCTGCAAAGACAGGCCTGAGTCACTTATTGTCAGCAGTACTTCCTTGGAGAGTTGGTGGATGTCCCTAAGAGGCCCTGCAGCCTTTTGTCCCGCCCAGGGTTAGAACCCCTTCCACCAGGGTCACTGGCCCCCAGCTGTTTATAAAATGCTGTCATTCCTGGTACCTGGAATCTGTTCAGTAGCCTGTCTAGTATATACAACTATTATCTCCATTTTCAGGGGAGGAGACTGAGGTTCAGAGAGGACGTGGTTTACCCAAGCCAGTCTCTGCCATAAGCAGATTTGAATAGAAGTCTTCAGATTCCACTGGATCGTAACAAAGTCTGATGATTGAAAACAGTTGGCCCTAAGCCCTCTCTCCATTGACTTAGGCTGGAGTCACCACTTTTATATAGCTCAGAAAAGGCTACAGACAAAGTCTCCTTCTGGTTGTTTCTGTTGTTTTTGTCCTTAGGTGTTTGTGACTAAATTCACTAATTTTGCTGGCTGTCAAGGCTGTGTTAAGGAAAATGGGTTTGAACTGCTGTGGTTTTTGAGTACTGGACTGGATGTCAGAAACCTTTGCCATCACGGGAAATTCTGTCACTCTGGATTTACTATCTGCTCCCCACAGCTGAATTCCTCAGCAGTGTGATTTAGCACCCTGGCTCCCCATCAACCAGTTTTGGCATTTATTTGAATGCATTACCCCACTGGTTTCCATAAACTATTTTACAATTGTTTAAAATAAATGACTGTTTATTTCCACAAAAACCATCTGTATTTCTTTACAGAGTAGCAGATAACTGTACGTAAAATTTGGTAATGTCACAGTGACTCAAGTTAAGAGAAACAGATTAGATTGAAAAATTGGATGCTAAGGGACAGTGTTAAAGGTTTCCATCCTCTCTAACAAGTGATATCTGGATTTAAAGGAAGGGAAAAAATGTTTCTCTTTTAAAAGTAATATCAGGCCTCCTTTCTCCAAAGGGAAGTGCATTCATGCCAGCTGGATAGGAACAGGATAGGGACTGTGAGCATTCCTCTGCCCCTTCAGCACTCTCTCTGCCTGGGGTGGTGTGGAAGAGGCTCCTGTCCAGTGGCTTCCAGCCTTCTCCAAGTTTTGGCTTGTCCATGCCGTACCTCTTCTTGTTCTGACGTTGAGTGGATTCCCGGGCCTGTGTGTTGCAGTTCAGAGATCACTGGCAGGAAGCTCAGTGGGGCAGGTTGCTGTGGGGAGAGAAGAGAGGCCTGGCTGAGGGAACTGAGCTGATGGGGAGGCAGGATTGGCCCCTGACAGTGGTGGTCTTCCATTCTCCAGCCAGTGCCCAAAACAGCACCGATCTATACCAGCCCCGCCCATCCCCAGGAAGCCCAACCAACCCCAACCCAGAGATGGAGCTGTCTTGTGATTATCGAAGCAGTGGGGACACATGGAATCAGTTGGAGGTGGACCTCCCAGTCTGCTTTGGAGGAGGAGGTAGGTAGTCAAGGTGGTAGCCAAGCAAGCTGTGTTCCCACTTAGTCACCGAAATATACACTGAAATACACCTTTTGTTGTGACTGTCCCGGGAATGCAGAGATACTGAAATGTGCACTCCAACCTCAGTTTGCATACAGTTAGCACAAGAGCCAGGTCCAGCCAGAGATCTGTTTAGCTGGGTCGCACAGAGCAGTCCAGAGGCAGTGGCACTTAGGCAGTTTGGACTTGTTGAGTAGGAGGGAGTGAGCACCAGAGACATGAAGAAACAGGAAGATGACTTCAGACAGAGGGACTATGATGAGCAGAGCACAGGGGGTTGAAACTGCATGGTTTGGGGGATATTTCTGGATTATTGTGTCATTAGGTGGGAGTTGAGAGGCGATCAGATCTGCCATCAGTGTGGCAGATCTTTAGAGGTTCCAGCCTCTGCTGAAGAATCATACCCCACTCCCCGCCCAGTGAAGTCTGGAAAGCAGAAGCAGAAACCCAGACTTGTGATCTATGGAGTCCTTGGAACAACTCTAAGAGGGAGATACTGTTATTATTCCTCTTTTACAGGTGGGAAAGCAAAGCATAGACAGTTTAAGTAACTTGCCCAGGGTCACATAGCTAGTAAGTGGTGGGACTGGGAATTCGAACCCAAGCAGTCTGGCTGATAAGGAGGTCAGCGGGCACTGCAGGGCGCTCCCTAGAACACACACACACACTCGAACTACTGAGTTTAGGGCAGGGATCAAATCCACACCTTCTTCCTGTCCTTCCAAGGTGCAGGGATAGACCCCTATCACACCGTCTCTTGTCTCAAAGCCTGAGTGCATCAGGACAATCCCAGAAGGAGGCTGAATAGGCCAGACGGAGACAGTAGGGAGTCGCCCGTTGCTTTCCACATCCCATCTAGAATCCAGGAGGCAGACAGGGCAGGCATAGTTGTCTAGCCTGTGGTGATAAGAGAAGCACATGGGCAGTCTGACCCTTGGTCTGCAGTCATGGCCTCTCTTTGTGAACAGCCTGGCCTCAGGTATTCCAGTGATTTTCACCTTTCCTGCCCAGCTCCTTTGGGCAGCTCTAGATAGCTCTGTGGTCCCCCCTGTGGCCTGACTCTGGACCATGGGAACCCGTGAAAACGCTCTGTGCCATTTTAGTTCCTGGCCCCCCAGCTGCTTACATGTCTCTCCAGTAGCCCCTGAGCCCCCATAATCTGTGAGGAGCCAGAGATGATGAGAGGAGGCTCCAGAGGCCAGAGTCCATAGCGATCCTAGCTGGAATCACCTCTAAAATTATTTAACCTCATTTTTTTAATTGGATTTTTAATGACAGAAGTGATACCAATGCATGTCAAAAATCCAAACAAGATAGAAATCCATAAAGTAAAAAAGCAAAAGCCTTTGTCTTTGCTACCACCCCATCCTACACACAAAGGTGATTCTGGTTAACTGAGTAACTGTGAGAACAATCTGGCTGATATCTTTCCAGATTGTGTGTGGGTGTATATTTTCAACAACAACGCTTCACACACACATATAAATGCACTTACATAATAGCTAGAGTTTTATTTTATTAATATGGTGCATACTCTGTACATTCTCTATCTTTTTTAATTTAATAATGTATCATGGAAATCTTCCCGTGTCTTATTAACTTAGTTTATTTTTTTCCTCAGGTACATAACATCCCAGTGTACAGATATACTGTAATTTATTTAATCATTTCCTGCTGGAGAATATTTAGGCTGTGTGCAATTTTTGATTTTACAACAGTGCTGCAGTGAACATCTTTGAACATATATCATTGTGTACTTGGAGTAATGCTCCTCAGGATAGATTCCTTTGTTGGGTCAAGAGTCAAGGTTGTTCAATTTTAAACGCCACCTTGTTGAAGTCATTCTATTGAACAAAGATTATTGAGCACCACCAGAGAGCCTGTTGCTGTGCTGGAGCTCTTGGAAATAGAGTTGGTTTTATTAAAAAGCCCCTTCACCCTCATCTTCAAAGATTTGCAGGAGTGGGGGGGGGGGGGTAAACAATGACAAATAGGCAGAAATGCTTCTAATCCAGCATGCTCCATACACCCGGAGAAGCAAGGCCCCAAGGAAGTTGCAATGAAAGAGCCCTCGATTCTGACAGGGATTCGGGCAGGGCTGCAGAGAGGAGGGGAGATGCCAAAAGGTGTGCCTCCCTACTCCTCCCGGGAGCCCATCTGTGAGGCTGGGTGTTCAAGAAGAAATTTGTCCTAAAGAATTATGATGCTCCTGCATTTTCTCCTACACAAAGAAGGAAATCTCGGCTGTACGCCCTTTCCTTTCCTCCTCTTGGCACTTTCTGATTGATGATTGGAAATGATGGCAATACATAAACTATTTTTCTTTTTATTTTATGACCTGGTAATAGCAGTAACATATTTCCAGTAAATGTTTTCTATCGCAATAAAAAAGTTGTAACAAGACTAGAAATGGGTATAGTTAAACCCTAAAGAAATCATACTTTCAGAACTGTGGATTGAGGCAGTAACTCTGTAAATCATTTAACTTAGAGAAAGGTCCCCTCCACCCCAAAAAACTCAGGGCAAGCAGCTGGTGTTCACTCTGAGTGCTCGTTGGATAGATGCCTGCTATGCGGGCTGGGGGAGCCTCCAGTTTTGACCCCCATAAGACCCAGCTACTCTCTGTCTTCCCACCTAGTTTCCCACCCAACAGCTTTACTCCTTTCTGAACCAATAAATCATCTCAACCTTACAATTCTTTTTTTCAACCCCCAAATCAAGAAGATTCTAGTACGCTCTATGTGGAATACAGTGTGGTAGTGTGGTTAAGAGCACGGGCTCTGGAATCACACACCTGGATTCTTGTCCTGGACACGCTGTGGGCACATGACTTAACCACTCCACATTTTTTTTCTCCTCTGTAAAAGGAGGACGATAATGGGGCCTCCCTCATAGAGTTTTATGATTCAGAGTGCTAATGCATGTAAAGTGCTTTGTTAAGGGCCAGGAGTCCTCAGTGTCGCTTACTGTTGTATTTAAAAAAAAGGGTAAATTGATGATTTTATTAAATTTGCAAAGCAGTACAACCACCAACATTTATTGAGTGCTTATTACGTCGTAGGCACTGTGTTACACAATCTTTGCAGTTACCCCACAAAGGTTTAGATCAGCTAATGTGCCCAGTGTCACATGGCTTGTAAAAAAGCCAATATTTTAATCAAGGTCTTTCTGACTCCAAAACCATTGTCTAACCGCCACATGTCCACCTGCTAGGATTAGATACTCAGCAGGAGCAGAGATGGTAAAACTGGTTCAAACTCCTCAAAAGTAGTTCTGTCTTACACAGTCATGGCCTCCTTTGGCTAACGAAGATTCTGGAGCAGATAGTGTTGAGAAACTATGCTCTAAGAACTCCACAGTCAGGCAGAAGGAAAAAAAAAAAGGCATTTCCTTTCCTAATTGCAGGCAGAGCAGCCTGCTTCTCAGCTGGTCCTTGTTTAGGGCCTGTGACTCTTCAGAGAATGAAGGTCTGCTTTTTCTGGTTGTCCGGTGTCCTTAACATGCTCTAAAAATTAGGCCTTTCCAGCCTTTGTCTTTAATTTCTGATTCTAGCTGACACCTTCATTAATGGTCCAGTACAAGCTTTCTGTCAACTTGAAGACTACTGTGTAAAAGTGGTTTTGCTGTCCTATCAATAATGGTCATAATTTCCCCAATACTCTCATCAGCAGTGAATTGAGTCTTGCAGCAAAGAAATGGAAACCCCAGTGCAGTGGTTTTAAAGTGATTTGTCTTGTAGACGGCGTCTTATTTCAGTAAAATCAGGTCAGTGCGGCACTGCTGGGTCAGATGTAAGTCTGATACAAATTACTTGGAGGAAATTGATCATTTGAACGTTAGGTTATTTTTAACTACTGTAGCTTTTTAATATCTCTTTTTTTTTCCTTTATTTACATCTGTTTTAATAAACTTTAACCATCATCATCAGGCATATTAAATGTCTTCTCAATTTCAGCCAAGCCTGTGAGGATAGGAAAGAGTACCCTCTACCCACCCCGCAGGAGTGACCTTCCCTGCACAGTTTAGGGGTTTGCCACAGTTATGGCCTTGTTTAAACACTTAAGCCCACTCCTCATCCGCCGGCTGGCCCCCTTACTGGGGTTTGTTTATTGCACAGACTGGCCCCTTGACCAGTCTGTTCTTCATTGCTATTGAAAGTTAATGGGGGCAAAATTGCATTCCCAAACATTTGAACCTGAAGTGGCCAGGGCCGAACTTAGTTGATCTCTGGTGATCGGTTCAATTTAGTTACGATTTTTTGCCATTAGGCTGGGGCTGAATGATGGTGATTTGGTTGAGGCCAAATGTCTGAAGAAAATTGGCTCTCTGATAAGAGTGCTGTTATCAGAGGGGGCTCCCTTCTCATTTACATTTAGATGAGTATTGATTATTTATTTACTCAGAGAAGTGAGATTCGTTTCCAATCTTATCTTTCTCGTCTCTGCTTGTCAGCAGAAAGAGAGATAGAGCTCCTGACATCAGGCCAAGATAACAGCACTTTGTAGTAAAGATAAAAGTTGGAATGGGCCTTTTTCTAGTCTTGACTGAAAGGATAAGTTTTAAAAATTAGAACTGATGGGTCATGCTTTCAAAACCTTTCCTGAAGGTTTTGCAGTTTAACTAGGCAGGAGAATTGGTTTATTGGAACAGCCTTGGTCTTTCTTCTTTTGTAATAGGAATTGTATTTAATTTGATTATATTCGGCTGTTTCACTGAGAGCAAATTGTGTATTGGCTCAAAAGAGGCTAAAGTGTGACCTTATTGTCATGTCAGCTTGTTCCTTTTTTATTATTTAAATTCCAAATTATCCAATCTGAGCCTCAGAGGGGGTATAAGCTACAGTGGCTATCACTTGAATATAATTCAGTGCTTACATTAAGATCAAGCAGAAAATGATTATAGTCTCCCCTAGAGGAAGAGTTGTAAGTGATGGCACTGACACTAAATGCAGATATTTT